CCCACACTCCGCCCGGGCGTTAATTTTTCCCGATGGGCTTCTGAACCTGCAACGGAGGCAGATGTTCATGAACATGCAGAACTAAAATTCACGAAGAAGCTGATGTTCAGCGAAGTAGGAGTCATTAACTGCTGAAAGGAAGCTCTGTAGTGCGCATAATGGCGTGCGAACAAACTTCGAGTGCAGCAAGTATCGACGAGCAGCAGAAAGATTCGAAGCGTATCGATGTTATGTTTCTTTGCGACGAGTGGATGTCTTTAAAGGGTGGACTGTCCACTTTCAACAGAGAATTCGCGGTGAATTTGGCAAGAACAACAAGCGAGAGCATCAAAGTTCACTGCTACGTTGCTCAAAGTGACGAACTGAGTAGAGCAGATGCCAGACAACATGGAGTTCATTTGATCACTGCTCGTAGTATTCCTGGATCGTCTGATCCATTAGATTGGCTGAAAATTCCACCGCCGGAGCTACCAAATCCTGACATTGTTGTGGGCCACGGAAGAAAGGTTGGTACCCCTGCCTATTTTGTTGTCCAAACTGCAAAGTGCAAGTGGATGCATTTTGTTCATGTGTTTTGTGAAGATCTTGGAAAGTTCAAAGCAACCCAGAGTGCCTCTGTGGATACAATCGAAGAGAATGAGAAGAAACATAAAAGTGAAATTGAGCTGTGCAAAGCAGCAGATGTAGTTGTCGCAGTTGGATCACGGCTGCAACAAAAGTACAGCAGAAGTCTTCCAAATGTTAAGGTGGAGATCATCACTCCTGGGATTTTGCAAAAGTTTTCCAACGAGTCATCACAGCTGGTCAAAGATAGATCAGTGGTAAAGAATTTCAAGGTCTTTATGTTTGGTCGGGCAAGCTTTGAAGATCTCACGCTCAAAGGTTATGACATTGTTGCAAATGCCATAGGATCCCTTGACAAGATGTTTGAGCTGACATTTGTTGGCTCATCTCCTGGTGAACACAGAAAAATAGAACAATGGTTTCTTGACAACACAGGCATAAGCCGCAACCAAATAACAATCCGTAGTTATTGCAATGATCAAGATGAACTTAAGATGATGTTTCAAGAGTCAGACATGATTGCTCTGCCTTCACGCACAGAAGGGTTTGGGTTGGTTGCCCTGGAAGCTATTTCTGCTGGTATACCTGTCCTTGTTGCAAGTGAATCTGGAATAGCTGAGGCTTTACATGAAGTAGATGGTGGGCAATCTTTCATTGTTGGATCAAATGATCCTGAAGTGTGGGCACAAAGGATCCAGCAACTGTCCAGCCAAAATCCAGAAGAGAGAGAAAACAGTGCCAAGCTGCTCAGAGACAATTACAACAAAACTTACCCTTGGAGCGAGGAATGTGAGAGATTCAAAAGGATGATCCAAGATTTAGTGGAAAGCTTAAATGGTATGTTCATGACACCTTTTTCAGGGCTCAAAAAAAATTGAATTGTTGCTTCCCCTTTGAACAAGCCGGTCTCAAATTTTGCTTGCCCTGGGCAAGTCTTACTTTACTTATTTCTATTTCTAATCTTGAGCGGGTTAACAATCTTGGTGGGAAGTTCCTGTGACAAGTTTGCTATTTGTGTGGCCTACGGGAAGATCTTCACAAAAGAGATTTGCCGAATGCTGTCTCAAAGAAAATTTTTAATGCCAAGTGAGCATTTATGTTACTGGCAATTTTCAGAGTTCGCCATTGTAAGATTATCGCTGCATCAGTGATGGTCTCTGGAATCCTGAGAAGTAAGTATCTCTGGACTAATTAAAATCATGTAGAAATTTCAAAGCAAAGAAGCTACACATGAAAGTCAACAAAGCTCTTATCTTTCTTCTATAAGCTATAAAACATGTTAGAACACTTGGCTAGTCATTCCAACTAAAAGCTCTAGTTTGTCTAGACATGATCGGCATGTTCATAGATAAACATGCATGGGATTTTGTCTTCATGGCTCGTTTTCGGCATGGCAAACTTTAAGATTGAGTCATAGTAAATGTAAATTTAACTGATATGGCTCATGATAGTTTTAGAGTGGTACTTGCTTCCAGGGTCAACCTTGAAGTAGTTTATCTCAAGATCATGTTTAAGGCACCCTCACCGGGATTTGTGTCTCGGCCATGAGAACGTGCAACTTCTCGGCAGGAATTTCTATGCAAGAAGTTTTCTCAAGAATTTTGCTTCCTGGCAGTATTCTCGGCAGGATCCTGGAGCAGATTTTTTTCCTTGGTGGGATCCTGGTGAGTACAGATGTCTTGGCAGGATTCTTGCCGAGATGCGAAGTGGGAATTTTTCCCAGCAAGGATCCCACTGGGAAAACAGGCCACCTGGGCAGAATCCTGGCCAGGGCCAGGAATCCTGGCACCAGGATCCTGCTACCTATTTTACAAGGGTGGGCTCTTGCCTGTTGGGCAAGTAAGACTGTAAAGTTACTTGCCCGACAGAAAAACCAACTTCTCCGGGACAACCGCACAGCACTTTTTTTGAGCCCTACTTTCTGCTCTATTATAGCTCTTTCTAGGTACCTACACCTGTATAGTGTAACATGATAATCAAAGTAGGAGAAACTGATAAAAGCCTATGATCCTTTGTAGATGCCAGAAGGGTACACACTTTTGCAATCCTTAGTTTAAGCGCAGTATGTAAACATATGTCCAATGCAACCTGCTATATCAAAGACCAACAATATAATGCAAGCAAAAGTGTTAAGAAATTACAAATGGAATGTTTCTTACCAAAACTGTACATGTAGCTACTCACCAAAGTTTCAGCCACTACAGTGCAGGTTTTCTGTGTGAAATTTGTCTCCAAAGAAGCGCAAAATTCGACATTGTTGTGGCCATTTTGAATAGTACTCAGCAGCCCAGCTACATTTTTGTGATGTCATTCCCTCCTAGAGATTTTGTCCAAATTGCTTCCAACAAGCCTTTTAACGACCACTCTGGGTTATGACTGTTCTTGAGCAGTACTATTTTGAGCCAAGCAAGCTCCAAACTCCCTAAAAGAATGAGAGTGGTGAAGATAGTGAAGTAGATAATTGCTTAGAAAAAATACATTTTGCTTACCTTAAGAATGCATATCAGTTGCAGGTTTTTCTCCTTCCCGTCAATTTTGAGTCAGACAGAATAGCATCACATAAACATGGCCTGGCTACATAGTTTGAAAATGAAGACCTCCAAAGTCAAATTTTGGGCTTCTTTGTTTTCGAGAGAAATTTCTTCAGGATAGTAGACACGTTAGAGGCTGAAATTTTGGTGAGTGAAAACGCTAGATGGTTACTTGCTATAGGTGAACACGAAAAAGTAAGCTTTTTGGAGAGACCTTCTTCTTTAATGTAAAGAAAATAAATTTTTTTTGTCAGTATACACCTCCCACCTTAACCCCCTATCAGTGGAGAGAGAGGGAGAGAGAGAGAGAGAGAGAGAGAGAGAGAGAGAGAGAGAGAGAGAGAGAGAGAGAGAGANCATAGGGCGCTTTTGTAACCTTTTAGACGGTAAAATGTTAATAAATCACTGAGGTTTAAACGATTCACAAAGATCTTTTTATATTAGCATCACCGCATTAGTAGCCCACTGAAGAATGTAAAAAAAAGTTTTAAAATTTAGAAGTAGAAAGTTGGCAGGCATGGAGACAACAAGGTTACAAAAGTGCAAACTTTACGTCTAGAGAGAGAGAGAGAGAGAGAGAGAGAGAGAGAGAGAGAGAGAAGGGAATTTGGGGGTGGGGGTGAACTATAAGGAGTAGAGTCTAATCTATATATAGGTGTTTGCATGTCTTCCTTACAAACCTCTAAATTTCTCTGATTTTACAAATCTATATCTTTCATTAATAAATGCAACTTTCAAACTTGGAATTTTTTACAAGGTCTATGTGATCTTTCCAGGGTTGTCTGTAGATTTTCATTACCTGGCCTACATGTGCATCAAAATCTACAAATACATTTGAGTGTCTTTGGAGCTTGTAAACTGGGGTACAGTGAATATATGTACAAACAAGAAATATTTGCAAATTTGAAACATGCATGTTAAATGTAAACAATTGAGAATTCCAGTTAACTGGCTACAGGATGAGTTCAATTCTGAAATCCAGTTATAGTAGTAAGATGGACTTGAACTTGATGAGTTCTTATGACTTAAGAGTTCTTTATAGAGTTCATAATAATAGTCAGAGTTAATACAGTCAGTTCATAGTTATGTGCACTTCGTAGAGAGTTATATCATTGTAAACATGCAGTTACACCAGTTCTTCTCACTGGTCTCTTTGTGGGAGTGCCTATCTGGAGAATCTGTTGTCTAGATAATTTAACCATAAGCTGTGAGCAGGTTCCTAAGGAAAAACATTAACTCATTAACTGGAAGTATGTAAATAATATAAAGGAAGACTGAAACTGAATATGGAAACATTTAAAAATTGTTCTTACTAATTCAACAGCTTTGAACTTGAGAATTGATGTGGAAACCATGAAACCAGCAGATCTCAACACACAGGCCTTTAGAACTCCTCCTTCAATAGTAGAATCAGGGAGATCTCAAAATGGTGGGCACCAGGAAGCACCTGTAGTACCTTCACCATCAGGACAGACCCAGCCTTTATGTATAGGTGCTGAAGCTACCCAAGCACCTGTGAGTTTCATTCCTACAGAAGGAGAAGTCCTACGTTTAATTGCTGTCAATTATCTGCAGGCTACTCAACCGAGTAGTAGGGATGATTTTGATAGCTTTTTGGCATACATGAAAGAAATGCGACTCACTATTGCTGGTGTTCATATTGGAAGTTTGCTGATAACAGTGAAGTTTCATTCACTCCAGATCCTTGAGAGCTTGTGGGAAGATTATTTGTCTGGTCATCTTGGTGAAGTGGTTCAAAGATGTTTTGTTACTGAAGAGATCTTGACAGCATTGAGCCTTGCAGAGTTGAAGCTTAAAACAACAATTTCAGAAGAGGAGTACAAAGCATGCAAAAAGTACCTTGGGAAAGATCCAGCAGTAGGTTAGTATCAAGACAAGCCCTAGGATTCCATGGTAATGATCATTTCTGGTACCATTGTCATTGAGAAGTAGCAAAACTGAAAAACTCTGTCTAATCCATGAGATCTTCATCTGTGACTGTTTGAAATTCATTTAGTACAAGTTTAAATTCTGCTCTGGTTCTTGACACTTACATTGTAGTAAGTCAAGCAATTCCTTTGATTAGACCTCTGATTACCAGGCAGTCTACATGTAACTAAGGGCATTTTCCATTCAACCAAAAATTCCGGACATTTTGATAATGGTAATATTAAATAGTATGGATAGTGTTTTCATTATGCAGATCATTTTTGGTCTTGTCAGACAAGTGTACTAATTAGTAAAATTACTTTAGAGCAGCCTTATTATATTGGAAGCAGGAAAATTTATTCTCTCTGTACTTTGAATCTGTTCCTTTTTCAATTAAAACACATGTAAAATCAATGTGAGAATCGAAGGTGGTAGGTTTTATAAGTAACTGCATGGCTTCTCCTAGATAACATTTCTTCTTTTGCCAACAGAAACAGATGAAACATATGATGGTGATGATTCAGCATCAAATGATGAAGGTACATGGCATATTTCATTGTGTAAATTATACACTTACCAGCTGGAAAATGTTTTTGTAGAAATCATTTTTCCAAGCAAGGGGGAAAATACATAGAAGCACGCAATGTGTGCTTGTACTTAGTGCAAGATGCCTAAATTTATTAAAATTTCTGCAGCTGGGATTTCTTTTTAAGTCAACAATACCTTGACATAGTGCTTGCTTTATACTCTGATAGTACATAGTAGTAGGATAGCTGCCAAATTACCCAAATGCACCCGCTTTTTAAATTTATTCAAAATGGCCACCAATAAAAGTTTGAGAAAACGTGACGTCACGGTGATGTCACCAGGTGGCACATGGTGGCCCAACTGGTGGGTGGCGCACGAAACCCTCCCTAGCTGGGGAAGAAGTCGCCTGTCGCAAGACAGTCTGGTTTGTCAAACTCAACACACATGAGGGGACAAATGGCTAGGACATTGATCTTTAAAAAAAACGTTATGGTTTGAAAACATACTTATAGACATTTATGAATAAAGGCCCTGGTTTTTTTTTTGGAAAAAACATTGTCGTGTGGTGTGAGTGCGTTCCCAGATGGGTATAAAAGCGCGCTACCTAATGCGATTTTTCTTGATTCACACTGAAGGCAGCATTGAGGACACATTATGAATATCGATGTGCAAGAACAGAAATTTTGCCAGTCGTTAGACCAGTTGATCCACAGCACCACCCAACTGACCAATACGTTGGTGTCCAACGTGGTCGAGAGTTCGCCGCAGTTATACATGAAAACCAAGTTTCACTTGTTGAGTTGCATTGATAGTTTATCCCAGGATGTGGTGAAGTTGCAACAAGCCTGGAACGAATTGACGTTTTACAGGAAAAAAGCTGGATTAGCATCAGCTGATGAGGAATCCGTTGTGTTTATACCTAAAGAAAACAAGAAAAGTACTGTAGCAAGAGAGCTGCTCACTCAGTCAGTACCTCCACCAAACACCGGCGGCTCAGAAAGCTATGGCAGAACCAGCATCTATTCCAGTAGAGATGACTATTCCTTTGGAAGAACGGATCCACAGATACTACATAAAGAAAACACTGTGTAGAAAAAACCAAGGATCCAAACATGCCTCCAGAAGGTATGTGCTTGAAAGCAGCAGCTGTGCAATTGGAGCCCAATGTGTTGCACACCTTGGTTTCCCGCTATGCCTTCTACCATCGTCAATGGTGCAAACCCCAAGGCATGTGAGAACGAGTACCTGCTGTTACCAGTGAATCCCACTTGTTAACTCCATTGAGTGGAAGTGCATGATGTTTATCAACAAACACCCACTGCACTGAAAAATTTACAAAAAGAAGTGTCATGAGACGTCAGGTCAGACCATACAGCTCACAATGGAGTACAGTGAGAGGGACGTTAGTGATGATGAAAACATAGTGGAAGAAGACGAACACGACGAGGATAATGAACATGAAGAACCAGAGGACGAATCAGAGGAAGAAGAAGATGATGAACCAGAGGAGGAAGAAGATGAAGAACCAGAGGGAGGAGAAGATGAAGAAAAAAATTTGGTGTTGTTTGATGGGTTGTAGAACTCCAACATACTCTGGTTCATCTTTTAATACATTAAAACGAAAGTGTATTTCCTCTAGGGTTTGTGGGTGATGGTCCACCACTAAATACCCATAGGGCTGAGTAGTGGCTCATTCGTACAGAGGCATAAAACGTTTCCCATCACCCATCCAACGTTGCCCCAGTGTTTTAATTTAACAGGTGTCAGCTGGGTCTCTAAAAGGGATTGTGTATTGATAGTTGCAATTCATTCCAGAGCTGTGCTTGCCTAAGGCATACAGGTTTTGTGTGACCACAATCACGAAGATATTGAGGTGATGAGCCTTCTTACTGAGTAAATCCATCACTTGATCTGAGTCAACAGTTTCTCTCATCAAGTCATCTAGCACTAACAAACTAGGACCTTGTTCCGGGGGAAACACTTCTTCCCAAGGGATGGTTGGTATTCCTGGGTGAAAGGTAACACCCATGTCTTGTTGCATTCTTGTGAACATCGGTTGCCAGGAGGAGCCGTAACAGTACAAGGCTTGATGAAAACATGCACTGTCTCCAGTGTCATCTCGAAAATAGGTGACTGCATCCTGTATCAGTTTGGACAACCATGTGGTCTTTCCACTGAAGGAGGATACCACGATTTGCATGCTGCCTGGTACACGAAAACATGGGTCGTGGGTCTTGCTCCTACCCATTCCACTCTGCAAGTTGGTGGCAGTGTTGGCTGCGGCGGCAGTGTTGGCTGGGGCATTCGTGTTTATGGCTGCAGCACTGGCGGCGGCGGCACTGCCCCTACATGCCCAGTGGGCCGACACCCAAGACAAGTACCACACCCTCCTTACCCTGGTTAGAAGCCAACTCACAGAGTGGAATGGGTAGGAGCAAGACCTATGACCCACGTTTTCGTGTATGAGGCAGCATGCAAATCGTGGGACCCTCCTTCAGTGGAAAGACCACATGGTTGTCCAAACTGATACAGAATGCAGTCACCTATTTTTGAGATGACACTGGAGACAGTGCATGTTTTCATCAAGCCTTGTACTGTTACGGCTCCTCCTGGCAACCGATGTTCACAAGAATGCAACAAGACATGGGTGTTACCTTTCACCCAGGAATACCAACCATCCCTTGGGAAGAAGTGTTTCCCCCGGAACAAGGTCCTAGTTTGTTAGTGCTAGATGACTTGATGAGAGAAACTGTTGACTCAGATCAAGTGATGGATTTACTCAGTAAGAAGGCTCATCACCTCAATCTCTTCGTGATGTGGTCACACGAAACCTGTATGTCTTAGGCAAGCACAGCGCTGGAATGAATTGCAACTATCAAATGAATACACAATCCTTTTTAGAAATCCAGCTGACACCCGTTACAGTAAAACACTGGGGCAACGTTGGATGGGTGATGCGAAACGTTTTATGCCTCTGTACGAACGAGCCACTACTCAGCCCTATGGGTATTTAGTGGCGGACCATCACCCACAAACCCAGAGGAAATACGCTTTCATTTTAATGTATTAAAAGATGAACCAGGGTATGTTGGAGTTCTACAACCCATCAGACAACACTAAATCATGTAAATACAGGTGTTTAATAAAACTGTTAAAGCATATCTTTGAAAGTATGTATTCTTTGAATTATGACAAACAGCATCAGCAGTTTTCACTCTCCAGGAACCCGTTGTTCTTTAAACAGCCTGTTCAGTAGAAATCACCTCTGGTGAATGGCCAGTTCTGTGGATTCTAACCAGTCATATCCCTTTTCCTCCATTAATTCATCTCTGGTTGCCACTACTTCTTGATAGATGGGGTCCTTTTTCAAGGCACGCATCCATTTCAGATCTTCCAACAACGCATCTCTCAGGTCTCTCTCTGTAAAGGGGAAGCAGGCTATTGTACACCTTAACATCCAGTTATGGATGCATGCAGGGAGTTTGGAGAGCACAAAAGAAGCGCAAGAGTTGGTAGAGGTGATAGCTGAGAGCAAGTCTAGCTTTCAGCCATGAAGTACATACCATGAACTTTCACAAAAAAGGTTTGGAATATGGGAGACATTGGACCTCCCTACATGTATCTTGATCTGTCATTTCATTATTGACTTTACCCTGCATTTAATTTTACAGCATTGAGCCTTGCAGAGTTGAAGCTTAAAACAACATTCTCAGAAGAGGAGTATGAAGCACTCAAAAAGTACCTTGGGAAAAATCCAGGATCAGTATCAAGACAAGCCCTAGGATTTCATGGTAATGATCATTTCTGGTACCATTGTCATTGAGAAATAGCAAAACTGAAAAACTCTGCCTAATCCATGAGATCTTCATCTGTGACTGTTTAAAATTCATTTAGTACAAGTTTAAATTCTGCTCTGGTTCTTGACAATTACATTGTAGTAAGTCAAGCAATTTCCCCTTTGCTGAAATTTGAGCCGAACTAGCTTAGTAGCCTCGCCTTTTTTTTCGCCGAGTGTCGACTGTTAACTTTCACAAAACGGGTTTGCAATATAAATATGGTGGACATTGGACCTCCCTACATGTATCTTTTGAACTGTCATTTTCATCATTGATTTGACCCTGCATTTAATTTTACATGGTACAAGAAGCCCGCAAGGAACTACCAGTGTACAAGGTTGCCCTATGTGGTAAAAGTGGCGTTGGAAAAACCTCCATTTTTCGCAGACTTAGAGGCGATGGCTTCGAAATCGACACTTCCAAATTTCAACACTTGGCAGAAGAAAAGATCGAAGTCCAAGTTGAAGAAAAGACCATTATAGTAAGAAAACAATTATTTATTTATTACGATTTAATGACTACTACAAAGAATAAAAATAAGCCTCATGGACAATCTGTAAAGGACGCAAAACCCCATATAAAAACAGACCAACAAAATAGAAGAAAAAATATATAAACAAATAAGCTTGAATAAATAAATGATAATAACAATAATAATAATAGTAATAGTAATAGTAATAGTAATAGTAATAGTAATAGTAATAATTATAATAATGATAATAATAATAATAAATAATAAAATAAAATCCCCTCAGCCCCTCGAATAAAAGATTATGACATTGAGAATTTTCTAGCTTTTGCCTTAAAAGCTCTCAGATTGGATTCACAGCGAGTGCCAATGGCAGTTCATTCCATATATCTATAATTCTATGAAAAAATGAGGATTTTAGCACATTAGTTCTAGAGTCAAATTATCACTATGCCTGAGAGAATAATGGCCACGTTCTGAATAGTATTCAACATACATATATGTAAGGTTGAACATCAATATCAATCATGCCATTTAGTGCCTTGTAAAAGAATGAAACATCAGCTAAAGCTCTTCTTTGTTCAAGCGACAGTAGGTTCAGTTCATCAATTTTAGTAGTAATAGTATCTAGAGATCAGTGAAAGATAACGTCACTTTTGTTTGGTGTAAAGAGTTGTATGTTGTTAATAATTATTATTGTTAAACATACAATGGGTATAATAATTCAGTGTTATAAGTGATTTTTATTTGCTGTGAACGGCTACTGGCTACTAAATTAATTGTGTCTGTGCATCTGTCAGGGAAGCAAATTCTTTTTGGGCTAATGGGCAATTTTGAGCTCCCTTTACCCCCAGTTCAAATCAAATCCTGAAAAGTGCTAAGCAGAGAACAAATTGTTCAACACGAAAATGAGTTGTACTCGCATGTTTATTTCCATGCAAATCAACTACTTGCTGTAACAAGGCAAAAGTCAAAAAATAGCCTATTATTTCGTTGTGATGCAAAGATATCTGGCTTGGTGTTGAATGTGCTGCATGTTCTTCCTTTCAGGGATTGAAAGTCATGTTTTGATAATGCTTTAAGTGTTTCATAGTTACCACATTCTGTATTAACTGCTCTGGTTACCTTTTTCCCTTGCAGTGTGGCTCAGTGACACTTATTACAGCTTATTAGTCTTGAATTTGACAGTCTACATTGCCCTACAGTCAGGTGTATGTAGGGAATAAGAGCCAAACCCCACAAGAGATCCTGGTGCCTTACTATACCTTTCAATAACATGCGGACTCTAAAATTCAAAGCTCAACCGACAAATGCGTTTTTCACTACCGTCAATCAAATGTTCGGCGGCTCCTCACAGCTTTCGATTAATGCCGAGCACAGGTAATCAAATCGCTGAGCACAGTTCAGACAACGAAACAGTACTCGGCAGTAGTGGGAAGCTGGGAGGAGTGACCAAACATTTGATTGGCGGTAGCAAAAAATGCATTTGTCGGTTGAACTTTGAATTTTAGGGTCTGCATGTTATTAAAAGGCACAGTAAAGGATGTTTTACAAAATTTTTGTTTGATCTGTTATTTCTTCTTGAACTTTCCAACACTTAGATTGACCTTTGGGACACATCTGGAATGGAAAGATACTCTCGCTTGACCCGCCAACACTACTTTGGAAGCAGTGTCGTGCTCTTTGTCTATGATTGTGATGATATGGAGTCACTAAAAGATCTTGCAGGTTACTACGAAGATGCCAAAAATAATGCTANTGTGATGCAAAGATATCTGGCTTAGTGTTGAATGTGCTGCATGTTCTTCCTTTCAGGGATTGAAAGTCATGTTTTGATAATGCTTTAAGTGTTTCATAGTTACCACATTCTGTATTAACTACTCTGGTTACCTTTTTCCCTTGCAGTGTGACTCAGTGACACTTATTACAGCTTATTAGTCTTGAATTTGACAGTCTTCATTGCCCTACAGTCAGGTGTATGTAGGGAATAAGAGCCAAACCCCACAAGAGATCCTGGTGCCTTACTGTGCCTTTCAATAACATGCGGACTCTAAAATTCAAAGCTCAACCAACAAATGTGTTTTTTGCTACCGTCAATCAAATGTTCGGCGGCTCCTCGAAGCTTTCGATTACTGCTGAGTGCGGGGTAATCAAATCGCTGAGCACAGTTCAGACAACGAAACAATGTTCAGCAGTAGTCGGAAGCTGGGAGGAGTGACCGAACATTTGATTGGCGGTAGTGAAAAATGCATTTGTCGGTTGAGCATGGTAAGGGATGTTTTACAAAATTTTTGTTTGATCTGTTACTTCTTCTTTAACTTTCCAACACTTAGATTGACCTTTGGGACACATCTGGAATGGAAAGATACTCTCGGTTGACCCGCCAACACTACTTTGGAAGCAGTGTCGTTCTCTTTGTTTATGATTGTGATGATATGGAGTCACTAAAAGATCTTGCAGGTTACTACGAAGATGCCAAAAATAATGCTAGTGGAGCTGCTGTCGTATTAGTGCGAAATAAGGTAGACCAAGAACTCCAGTGTGTGGACATTAAAGATGCTGAAAAGCTACTCTGCAATCACAAGGAAAGGGACAGATCTGTTTGCAAGTTTAAATTCATAGCAGAAACTTCAGCAAAGGAAAATACAGGAATTAATGAACTTATACAAAACGTTGCTAAATATCTACTTAAAAATGCAGAACCCAGCAATTCAAGAAGAGAATTTGACAAGATTAAATCCAAACCTGAACCAGCAAGCACCCCTTCCACAACAAGCAGCTGCTCATGTTAAAAATTAATGTTAATATTAAATTATCTTTAAGTGACTCACTAACAAATTGCATGTGTGCATTGGAATCAAACCTTGCCATAAAAGAAAACTGTAGGGTCAAGTTCAAGAGCTCTCTAGTGGTCAGTATAATGCTACAAAATTAGCATCCTTACATGTACATGTAAAAGTAGAACAGTGGAATCCCAAAAGTAACCACCTTCAGATTTGCTCTGGACACTGAACACTCATCTGTATCAGGTTCCTCGATTTCTGATCCTTGATAATTTGTTCCACAAACTTTGCTTTCCCTCAGAGGTTTGAGAGGGTCATAGGAATCCAGATTCCATTGCTAGCCCACAGGTGTAGCTAAATATTGTGTTCAGAAGGGTGTCACTGTAAACACAAACTGCTAGTCAGTGGCTGATAATTGCACAAGGCAGGTCTGTTGAAAATCTGCTGTAATGCTTTTTTTAGTTTATTATCCCAATCAAAAGCTCCTGCACACTCAGCAGTGAGTCAGCATGCTGAGGATCAAAGAAGTTCCTTCCAGGTAATATCGGAGGGGGGAATGAGGAAGGGAGGGTCAAAGGGTCGCAGTTTCTCTCTTCCAAATAATAATGGGAAGGATAAACCTGTATATAGTAATTCTCCCTCCTGTTTCTAGTATTAAGGTCCCTAGCCTGCAGTGCAGGCAGTTTTGGTGGCAAGTTTACAAAACGTGGAGAGTTACAACGATTGAGAGAGAGCTTTTGGCAATTTTAACCCTCACCCCAGCCCTCCACTGTTTACCCAATCCAAGATGGCAGCCTATATGTAACACTCGACACTGGAATAATTATGTGCACTTGTTCGTCTGCACTGCTGGCTAGAAGTACCTGGATTTTTAAATCATTCCTGTTTCATTTGCCCTCATTTGTTTACCAACTTTAACCATAAACATCTTAAATAACTGGGCACTTAATTTTGGTGATAACCACCAATAAAGGAAAGGAGAAAAATCTTTTGCTGTTATTGGCTTTATATATTAATTTAAATTGAAATATATATGTATGTTTTTTGGTACTATTTTAAATAAAGATTTATTTATAACAAGAAAAAGGAAAAAAATTGTTGATGTGCTTCTCACTTTGACAAATTTAGTAATTTGGGTCGAGTCCACATTTTACAACATGTTGAGCTTATATTGAGACTTGTGATTTAGAGCCTGGCAGCTAGTGTTAGCTGGCTAGCAAAACACTAAACCCAGTGCTTTAAACCACGTGTTTACTAGGCAATAGCAAATGTCTGAGGAAAAAAAAATGCATTAAGTCATTTAGAGTCGATCCTAGTTGCTCACAGAATGTCCCATAAAATTGAATTGAATTGCCACACGAGTTTCTTGGTCTGTGTCCTTTGTGTCTGTACATGTAGCTGCATGTATGATCATCACAGACATTTTCTCATTCAGAGCTCAGCTTTTCAAGCTCAACTTGTGTGCAAATGTACTTGGTCTGTTAAGGTGGTGTGAAATCCTAGTATGTGTTTAAGCCTAGGGCCAATAAAATGTGACAAAAAAGGTCGATAAACTACGAGTAAAAGAGCTCTAATTTTCTCTCACTTCCTCGTATGCAATACCTGGTGTCACATGAGTGCATGGCTATATAAAGGGCATGACTCCAATTCCCGTCCAAGGTTGTAAAAGCCTGTCTTTGATCGAGGATTGCTAGAAAACCTACCATACAACCCATGATGAAATTTTCACAGTTGATTTGTCCGGGTGAATCGTGTTTAGAGCCAAGATTTAACAGAAATCTGTAAGACTATTTTTGATTTCACATTTTCTTAGTTTGTAAAAATGCATGAATGTTACATTGGAGCCAATTTCTAATTCCTGAAACTTTGAGGTGGGGTCATATGGGTACTTAGATATTGAGAAAAACGTCATTTAACCTGCTAGTGCCCAGTCGTTTTTTAGGTACTCGATCTTTCATTTCGGCCATTTGTTGATGTTTAAATCGTTCAAGTTTCACACAGAATGGTAAAAGACTTAGGCAAACAGTAAATAGACAGTTAAAAGAAAGCTCTTTAATTATTGGCACATGTACCAATGGACATACAGTGTATTTGGTTGTAATAAGATATTTACAATTTATTATAGCAATGACTTCTTCCATCATTAAAGAACACTGCTCAGAATGCAGCTGTACCTGTATGCAATCACCAAATAAGATGTATTTTGTTACAAAACCTTTTTTCAAACAGCTAAATGAAGAAATCAATTAACTCTTGTCTGGCTTGTTCCCTTTGGGTAGTTGTTCTGAAAGAGCTTCTACCTCTTTCCTGTGTGCTGGGAAATTCTCCCAAGGAGTCTGAAAGTCAAACCTGCGGAATTCTTGGGCCATTTCAATTGGTTCACAGACAACTCGTTTAAGTTCATCATCATAACGCACCTGAAAACAAATACATATTTATATTTTATTTTGGCATTGAAGCCTAAACTACAGTGATGAAGATATTAAGTACACACTGTACAATCTTACCATCAATTCACACTAGTTAAAAGCAAGAATTGCATTACAGTACCACCTGACTTCATATGCACATTAGCCACCAGTTTCACAAGGCAGTACATGAGGTTTTCCCATGTGACCACCTTGGGAGGAACAAATGAAACACGAGATGAAACCAAAACAAAACCCAGGGGAAAACCCATTGACTTGTCCAAATACGTATGGTTGTGTCTTCATACTCTTAATCGCCTTTGTTAACTTCATAGCTGTATTTTATTACTCGGTATATGACCAAATTACAAGAGATACCAAAACAACAATTAGAATGAAACAGTTTCGTTTTGTTCTCTGCCATGCCGTGCCATCCATGTATGAATGTATATCAAATGTATGAAATAGGAAAAGGTACTTTCCTAAAGGCTGATGTGACATGATTAAGTTACTGTTAATTGATAACAAACCCTTCCCTGAACAACTTTGGGTGCAAAGAATTTCATCTCAACAGAAAAAGAATAAAATCCCAATATTGCTATTGTGTCAGTCATTCATCCATCCATTTGAAAAATTAAAGTAAAATTTCAACCTAGGTTTTTGTTCATGAATTGGGTGAGTTTCTTTCTTGAACCACGCCGTTTCATCTCACTTCTCTCGCATGCAATTCACGCATTCTGTCACTGCGGTTCACCCGTGCCAATGTGCATTGCCAAATGATTCCAGGTAATACTGTACTTTGAATGTAAACACATGCTGACCATTGTAAAGGTACTTTTAACTAAAGTGAAAACTTAGTTATATGTAGCACTTAGTGAAAAGTCTGGTACAATGCAAACATGTATCATAACTGACAGAAAGTGTTACGGAAAATAGGAAACAACAATGAGAGATTGCTTAAAACATAATTTAACTAAGTGAGTGCCCATAATTGCAACACTACTCTTGTAAATGTTTACTCAAAAAGAGATTAACAACAACAGTGGGAAAGAAAGGATGAAAGCAGATCAGTGTAAAATCATTAAATCGATTACCTCAACATAACCAGTAAGAGGGAAATCTTTCCTAAAGGGGTGTCCTTCAAACCCATAGTCTGTCAAAATTCTTCGTAAGTCTGGATGATCCGCAAAGAACACACCGTACATGTCCCATATCTAAAAGGATCCAGAGATGACAAATAAGAACAACTTCTACTCTATTACATTTGAAGCCTCAATCACTATTCAGGGAGCTGCAGGTAATTCTGCATATTTGTCACGTTTCAACCACAAATAAAGATTCCATGGTTTGGCTTTCTCATGTTGATTGTACTTCTGACATGTAAATTACTACAGAATAGGAGTAGATGATGTAGAGATGAGGAAAATGCAAAACAATACTGTACATACTGTACATGTTAGCCTTGGTATACATGTGGACACTTACCTCTCTTTCATACCAGTTTGCTATCTTAAACACTGGGTCAGCAGAGTCAACTGGTGTCAATTCATCAGTGTATGTTTTTACTCGAATCCTTGAGTTGTACCTCAGGGACAGCAAATTGTACACAATCTACAAAAAAAAAAAGGAAGAAAGAAAAAAAAAGACGTCCATGTACTCAAAATGCTTAGGAGTAAAACTTTGATGGACAAGTACCTGTACCACAGGAAGTACAGGTACACTTCACACCACAAGAAATAGAGTTGAGCACCAAGGATTACAGACCCCTCTACTGACCACCCCAAAAATAGAATTAAAATAATATATAAAGACTTCACCTACGGTTTGTCTAATTATTATACATGTAGATCACTTGTGTAGGCGAAATTTTAAGGATTACACTGTGCAAATGTAACAGACTTGGGTTCAGGATTGGGCGCAAGTTATATCATTCATTACACATTGCCATTTCCTTTGCTGTGGCTATTGTATGTACATGTATGAAAGACCGAGAAGCCTCTGGAAAGTCTTGAAATTTGTGCTCCTGTCCCTCCTCCATTTTGTTCAGCTCATTCTCTCACAGGTTTGTGAACTCCCCCGGGCTTCCCAGTTTGCTCAGCCAAATAACAGATAAAAACAAGAAACAAGCTAAAAGTCAGACAAGCCAGATTAGTCAGATTCAGCCACCCATGGAATGTACAAACTTTCCTTTTTCTGCCACCAGCTTCTCTTTTTGCCAAAAATAGCTTTTAGACATCATTTTGGGGGTTTAAAAAAAACTCAAGTCTGTTACAGACTTGAGTTTTTTACACCCGAAAAATGATCAGGTTTCACTCTGAAAACATTTGATGCATTTTCAGGTTTCACACTGAAAATGTATCAAACGTTTTCTGTCCACACTTTGCAGAAAAATAAATCAATACAGGGCTCGAAAATGCGACTCACTGGTCGCCAATGCGACCAAAAATTGAGCACTGGCAACTAAATTTTCAGAACTGGTCGCCAGCCGGCGACTCGCATTTTGTCCGATAACTAAAGAACACCACGACACAACTTTTGTTTTTAAATCCTTATATTAGGAAATCATTCGGATATGGTAGATAGCATACAAGTCACCTTTCCGTCCCCAGTAAAATAATGTCTGAATATTACAAGATAATCGAAAAAATTGAATGTAATTCGACATGTCGATACTGCGTTCACGGCGCGCCATATTGTTTCATCGGCTTCTTCTGAAACTGGGATCGCAGGCGCACTTCAACACCACATGCTTTTCATTTGCCGCGAAAATGGCAGCAGATACCAATCAATTGAAGGAATTACGTGAGTTTTTACGTGCGGGGAATGAAGATTCAGCCAAAAGGTTAATCCAAACTTTGAATCCTTCGAGGAAAGCAAGTCAAAAATAA